GTTTGGCTTGTACAACATTTGTAATAAGTGATTATAAGAAGATGAATTGATATTCCTGCAACATTGCAGTATATGTAAAACAGGCACTCTGTTGCATAAAGGCTAGATAACCAGTCCCTCCCTTAGTGGGTTGTTACTGGTATGGATGTAAGAGTTTTAGGTCACCTATAATGGAAATTCAACAAGTTAGGGATGGAAGAGTAATATTTGTGAGGTTAGAATATTGGTCCTTGCAATCTATGTTAGGTTTGGTGCATGAATTTTTTTTCCCTGTTTAAGGGAGTGCATATTGTTTGAGATTGATTATACAGTCCTTTTTGTATCCATCTTCTTAAACTTACTTATATTTAGTTACTTATTGATTTATTCATATTTTAGTCATAAGTTGGATTAGGCCAATAGTTCACATCGGCTGAACGTCTTTTGGTAGCTATCAACCAGTGTTAGAGAGAAACCATGAAGTAGAATTCTAAAGATTTAGAACTTATTCTGAATAATGACTTGTGGTTGCTGTTGTTCTCCTCCGTTCTAGAGCTAGATGGCACGACTAATACCTGATGACTGAACATTCTGACTCCTCTTCACATTTCAGTTTGCTACACATACATATACATGCATATCTTTGCTTTTACATCCCCATGCACAGTTGTATTTATCAGTTATAATCTGTATAACTGCTCGTTAGCTGTATAAGAATTGTCAGAGGAACTGTTTATGTTTCTAAGGCATTTCTGTCTCTACATCTTTTATCATTTTAATGCAGTTTCCTTTGCTGGTGAAGTAATGGAGGTCCTGCTTAATGCTAGAATGATTTCTTGTCTTTTGAAATAAATGTATTTCTGCTTAATATATGTCAGCAAGATGATGTAATATGATGATGATGATTGTTTTAAAAAGTGTCTATGAATTAACATATATATGAATTGACAAAGTCATGTGCATTTCTTCCTTAAATGCAAAGTTCAAGGTCATATTTTGCTTTAATATTACCCCTCAAATATCAACTAAAGTAATTTGAAATGTTTTTTTATTGCTCCCAAAGGCATTGCTGTGTAGCTGCCTATCTGTCCACAATAGGGCTTACTGTTTAGTGTTCAAAACAGAAATGATATTCACAAATGCACACACATGCAATCAAAAGACAACACAACATACATACTGTTCTTATTTTTAAGTCCTTGTAGTTTTATTGATTTGCAGTTTCATTGTAACCTAATAAATTAGGATGCATATCTATGGACATGCAGATAGGTTGTTTTTATAAATGAAAGGATTCTTTTCAGAAATATAATCTGTTATAAATCACTCACATTTTTCCTTCAAGAGCTTTACAGCCAGAGTATGGCTTAATGCTATTTTTATATATCTGTGTACTTTTTAGTTAGTGAGGTCTAGAAAATGAGTAATGGTTTAGTATTCATCGTGCCATCAGCTATTGTGTGGGGTTCAATATATCTAGTAGCATGTTTGATGATGTTCATTGTCACTATCTTTTGCAGATTTGTCAATGGGTTCTTTGACCCACGCCACAAGCGCAGTACGATGGATAGTGGGTACAGCACAAGTGAGAATGGTGACCAGAGATGGTCACAGGAGAGTCAGGAGGTTTGTGGTCTTGCTGAGATTGTTCCGTGTAAATGGCATTGGTTACTGATTGATTGAGCAGTGCATTAAAGGAAAGGCAAGAATATAAGAATAATTGTTATGTGTAATTAGTAAGCATTCTTTAGTAGTGGTAGAAGTTTAGCATAATACTTTCCCCCTTCCCCCCATTTTAGAGCCTAGAGTATGAAGATTCACGAAAGCTAGCGGTAATGGCTGCCACCTGTACAAAAGAGCAAAGGCAGGAGAGGGGCAGGAGTGGCCCTCCATCCCGATCAGTCAATGGATTACCTAATGGGGGCATGAACACTGGGGTTAATGGGTCGCAGGGAATGAATGGCTCAGGTTATGGGGCACAACACAGCACAGACCATCCTACAAGTGGCTTGTCAACACCAAGTACACTAAGTCCTGGTGATGGATTCAATTTAGAAGATGAATTCAACAAGGTAATGGAGGTGAATGTGGACAAAGTGGTGCTTTAAACCAGTGTGTGTTTTGCTTTGATTTGATTTTGTTTTTATTGTTGTGCTATATTTTGTGGTATTCCATTGCAAACAATGAATTATAGATTGACTGTTGTATTAGATGTGTCAGATCTTTTATGATCTTTTACAGGCATTGAAACTGAAACAGGACTATGAAAATGTTTATGGCAGTGATCATTCCCTGTGAAAGAAAGGTAAGTGTGATTGAAGCATATGTAAAAGATGTGCCATTGTGGTCCTTAGCATGTCTACTTCTGAGATTCCTTTACTGAGAAGATAAAGGGTCTAGGGTAGTCACACAACCTAAGGTTCACTCATGGAATTCTTTTCACAGTTGCTTTCTTTGCTCTCTTGTGTTAATTGACTTCATTGATCATTGGATTAATAGGGAAGTGCTGATTTAGGTTAGGGGCAGTTCACTAACAACCATAATATGGCTTTCTCTTGCTGGCTCTGAACTTATCTTGCTTGTGTGGGCTAACTAATAACAAATCATGTTTGAAATGGAAATGTGCAGTAGTTAAGGTGTGACTGTGTGTACCTGGACTGAGTAATAGCATGAGATATATTTTTTGTTAGAAATCATCACCGATTGTCTTGGTTATTATTAAGTATGTAAAGATTTAAACTTAAGATCTGGTGGAAGATTTCCTTTCCAACTAGACATTGAGGTAGGTTTATTCACGCTGTTATTTGCTGTGACTCGTGAGTGTGAATGAGTTGTCTGAGAATTTCTTCAAATCATTATATTTTCATTATTTATATAGAAACCAAGTCCTTGAATGGCGCTGCATGAATGTAGACACCCAATTACTTATTTCCCTTTTACTGGACATCCTCGTTATGTCTTCCACAATTCTTTCCTGAAAGTTTTTGTAATATTTTAGACATAATATTTATATGAATTCAAAAGTATATCGAATGCCAAATACACGTTTCATAGTTTGTTTACTATGCAGAAAGACCAAAAATCTGCTTGACATGCTGAAATGTTTCGGTTTGAACTGTTAATATTTTCGATCATAAAATGTGTCAGATAAAAAAAAATGCTTCTGTATATTAGTTTCAGGCAATGCAGAAGAGGCTGGTATACCTTTGGATAGAGATATTTTTGTTTGAGAAGACTGTACAAACCTGCATAATCTTCCGTAACTGTAGACATGCATGAATACTTATTACCTTCTATGTCCTGTCTGCATGAACGTTTAAAGTCTTCAGAGTAATAAGAGTCCTGTAAAGATCCTTCTTGATCTCTTTCTATTTCTCATTGCCCTGAATGTTCCCAATCAGCACATTACTTTGGAAATGAATAGCAAAACAGTTCCCTCATGTTATTCATAGTGTTGATGTTAATATTCCTTGTTTTAAACTGATCATTAAATATATATGATTTTTATTTCCTTCTTTTGACGACATAATGCTTCATTAATTGGAATAGGTTTTAAAACATATCCTTTTTTTTATTACGTGCTTCAGATTATTTTTGACTGTTGTTTTTATTTTATTATTTTTTAGATATTTTGATGTTTACACCCTAGATAAAACCCATTTATCAGATATTCATTCATAACAATGGAAAGGTTGAGAGTGAGTGCGCATGTGTGCATGCTGATTGTGTGGCAATCGATTGTGTTTCAGCAACTCTGGTGCTATTTGGAATGTTGGGAGTGGCAGCCACAGCAGCAGCAGCAACAGCAGCAACAGCAACCACAGCAGCAACACCAACGGGGGCATCACCCTTCGTCACCCACCAGAGCCCCCCATCCCCTTAACCCTGATCCTGGAGGGGGTTATATCCCCTCCCTTCACCCCCCCTTCCACACACCCCACGCCCACATCCCCCTACAGGTTGGTGTCCCAGCCTAGCTTCTCTCCTCCTCCTTGGGATTCCTTTTATACATGTTTGTTTTTCACATGTTATAAAGTCCAGAGACAGAGACAGAGAGAGAGAGAGGAAGAACACAGTATTCTCAATATAGTATTTTTTTCTGTATTTTATATTTAAACTTAATATGTAGATAAGGGTTCTTCCTCTCACTCCAAAACCTTTGGATCCATATCTGCTTGAGCAGCTGGTTGAGGGTAAGGCTGTATTAACATACTCTTAACCAATAGCAAGCTACTTTAGGCTTAGCTTACATGGCTAAGAAATAGAAAGGACAATATTGAGAGGATATGCCATGATCTCTTTTTTTTCAACAAGTTTTTATTTTTGGCTTAAAAAGTATATCATACATCCTGCTGTCAGTATTAATTATTTTCATAGATCATTTCATTATCTAAACACCTTTTATATGCCTTTTAGCATTTGCACATTGTATTCATGAAAGTTATTATATTTGGTCAATGCACATTTCAGAAATGTGATTCATTGGTAGTAGTAGTGGTGCTCTGAGTACTAGTAGAATAGTTCAAGTGTAGAGGATACAGTGGGTGTTTTAGATTTCTCTGATGTTTTGCCTCTAAATAGGGGATTGCACTTCTTGGGAGATTGTACGAAAGAGACATTTAGCAGATGAATTTACATTGAAAAATACACTAGGAAGATGTATAATTTCTCTTTCTAAGGCGTAGGATTTGTAAGCTTTGGTTAGATCAAATTGCATGATGGATTATGGCAAGGATTGTATGTGATTTTAAAACATGATGCTAAAATAAGGTTAATATTTGCATGTTAGAGATAAAGAATTTATGTAAGTACAGATGGAATATTTAATACATTATTGCAAGGGGAATTTTAAAGAAGGTAGTATATGTATGTTAGTTTAGGTGGGGTGTTTATTTTGGCTCTGACAGTGGGAGGAAGGAGGAAGAATAAATATGGTTGCATGACTTTCTGTGATTTATTGGAGTAAGAAGGGAAATAGTGGATAAGAGACTGTTCTATAGGTGTTTTTTTTTAACTTGTGATAGCATCAGTATTGTCTTGGTCATAATAATTGTTATTGGCATTGTTGGTGTATCATGGTCATGGTTATTGGCATTGTCATCGTTTTCGTCATCGTCGTTGTCATCGTCACCATCAGTCATCATTCATCATTCATCATTCATCATTTATCATTCATTAATCATTAGTCATTAGTCATCAATCATCTGATATCATCAATCATAACAATTATGCTCATCACTACCACTCCACATCCCTTATCACTTATTATCAACATCATCTTTACCCTCACTATCATAGTCTTTGCCCATTAGCAGATTTGTTGATAATAGGAAATGGTCAGAGGAAGCCAGAAGTGAAAGGGTGGACTGTCCTGAATGAATTATTGCATAGTCAGTCATTAGCATTTTGCTATGGTATTTGAAACTCGCAGTACTGGTAGATTTGGATTATCCAAATGCTCTCTCTAGCAACTGCAAGTATTTGGAAGAGGATATGTTGATAATATTTATGACTTTTATTGCAGGTATATTTTTTATGAGAGAGAGAAAGAAAAAATGTTCTTGTACCCTATCCCCAGAGAATATGTGAAGCTAAATTGCAAAAACGAGCGATGGAAAAACAACATATCTACAGACGGCAGGGATCAGAAGGGAATTCCCCCACAGCAGAAAATGGAACACACAGATCAGTTGAAAATATTTCCCACCGGAGCGAGATGGCGTCCTATCCTAGACCAAATCCTATGGGGGCGTCCAAACCTCCTTGTAATGGGGTATGTAACATGTATTGTCTTTGCCCATATATTTTGTTTGTCTTTAGTTGATATTTGAATTTTGTAAAAAAAAGTAATCAGGATGTAAGTCTGTCAATTAATTTTTTTTACACTGTTAGGTTAGCACAGTATATTAATTTTGATGGTTATGTAATATTATTTGCACAAGTAAGTTGGATCCACTTTTAGAGGGCAGTATGATATAAGCATCTCAATGTTTCACCATTGTCATTAGTATATTTTGCACAGTACAGATTATACTAGCTGATACTAATTAACAACATGGCATAAAAACAAGAATACATTCTGTGTAGAGCATGTGTTCCCAGTATTTTTTTTTTTTTTTTCAACAGGAAAACCTGTTTGTTACTCCTCTAAGACCTGAAGTAGAATCTGTTGATTGCGAATCCTGATTTATTTTTCTTCCATACTAGTTGTAATTGTTTTTCTTTTGTGAATGGAATTGATGTGTCCTCTAATTGTGTTTTTATAGTTAATCTGCATGGAAAATAAAAGACAGCAACAATGCATCTTGAATCATGGTATTGTCCTTTGATATTGCATTATGAATGAATTATTAAAATGCATCATATTATAAAAATTACATAACATTAGAGAAGTTAGATACATGTTTGCACTCTTGTGTTTTCACCATAGGCTGTAAAAGCAGCATTGAATGGTAATAAACAATTTGACTGAAGCACATATCCTACATGTCAAGACCTCAATGGAAAGGTTTTACAATTCTTCCCTGAATGCAAATTCTATAAATGTTGCTCTCTTAAGGAATGTGAAAGTATGAAATCTTTTATTTCTTTATGTAGCATAGCAAAATATTTGTTTTTAAAAGCTTCTTAAAGTGATAGCTAGAAAGGTGTAGATCCAAGGACCAAAATGGAAGTCTAGTTTGGGTCTCTATCTACTTGACCCCCCGCACACACAGAAAGGGTGTGATGTTATAAAATGCTTCAGTAAGTAATGTGCTTGCAGCTTGATGGGTATTCACAAAGGTTGCCAAGCCAACCGCGACCGCAAGACCTTAGTCGGGAGGATATGACACGTGCCGATGTCAAGAACATTCAGAAGGAAGCAGTGTTGTCTTATGTTAAGGTGAGGTTCTTTATCCTCAACTTTTGGTTTGGTTGGAGGAGGATGTTTTGGATTTGAAATATCATTATATGTTTATTTCTTTTACATTTTTCTTTCTTTCTATTTTTTTTCTATGTTTTCTTAATAATGTTTTGTGGGATAATGAGTGTAGAGTGTGAAGAATTGGGTTTACTTTTTTTCTCTTTTTTTCCTTCCATTCCTTGGAGAAAATATTGGAGTTGTAGATGATAGTCAATACAAAATTGGAAAGATCTTTGAAAATGCATTTTTACTGAAGTGGAGATTGGCTTTCTAAAATGTTTCTTTAGATCTAAAATATTGGTGATTGTCTTCATATGTGTAAGACTTTTTAAGATTTTAAAATGTATTTAGAGGGAAATAGAGAAAAAACATGAGGCTCAGAGGACACCACGGCCAAAACGCATCAGTCGAGGAATAGCAACACGGACTGATGTCAAGAATTTACAAAAGGAAGCCGTGTTGTTATATATAAAGGTGAGGCCGATGGCCTTTGGAATGCCAGCTGTGAGTGGAGAAATAGCGAGAACCAAGTGCATTTACCTCTTAGCTTTGTTGCTTCAGTTACAGAGGAAGACCAACTTCTGCTAATATATGGGACTTGTTGCCTTTGTGACTCAGTTCATGGGATATGTTTGATAAATTGATATTTGGACCCCATTTTTAATCATTCAGGTTGTTGATTATTGGTTAATTCATAAAGCATAATTGGCATCCTTTTAATTCTCTCTCTTTTTATCAGAATAAACTCAATATCACAATTAATTTGTATCATTTAGAAAATTATAGTTTGTGAATAGAAAATTAACCATACTGTACATGAAGATAGGTTGATGTCCATGATTATGTTACACATAGTATTTGTTCAAAAGCAGTAAAACAAGTGGTTATCAATTATATTACTTGACCAGTAAAAATGTATGACTGAATTTAGTGTTACGTAGTATTTCCATTTAGGTTTATCAGAGATCTGTTAAGGGGATGCCATTTGAAATGCAATAGAAATATCCTTGTTAACTATATTGTAGTTATTGATAGCCAACATATAGGCAAGAGATAGAGAAGAGCTTAGAGAGGCAGTCAGAGTAAAAAGTGGAGATTGGTCATCAGAATCTGTTCGTCCATATTTTTTATTTTTTATTTTTATTTTGTAAATAGTAATTACTCAATGTGGAATTTGCACAGATATGTAGATACACTAGTGTTGTACTGTGCTGTGGATTGTCAAGGTACTTAGACCGGTACTACTCCTACTTGGCATCGGAAGCATGTCTGACGGTTGCTTTGCAAAAGTGACGGTTTGCGCCTCTCTAACTGTCGGCAAGTTACTCAAAACAGGATTGCGTGTCTTGTATGGGAAGAGGAAAAATTCTGAAGATGGTAGATGGTGGAGACAAAGTTACTTTTTTTATTGTGGAGTTTGTCAATGGTTTGTATCAATTCTATAATGTATAGTGTTTCCTAAGGAATGCTTTTTGTAGATGTTTGCATTCCATCAGTATTAGATATAGGAGAATGATATGCAACAGGATGTTGCAGGCATGAATTGCATGGATTCAGAATGATAAAGAAAATCCTTGTAGTTGGATAAAAATTTGTATGTATCTCAAAGCGTGTAATTTGAAGTGTGGTACACATAAAATTTTCTTTTAATTCATATGCACCTTTATTTGCATAACCTTTTCATGTAAGTATTTTATATAAGTTTTGATATATCGCAAGTGCATGCCGGGGAGATTGTAGTTTTATTACTCATTTTTTGTTTCCTATCTTTTCCAGTCTCGTGTTAGCCCTAGCAAGGGTTCAGCCTCCAACTCCCCTGACGTAAGCTTTGACTCTGGGGATGGGCCTTCGTATCCCCAAGTCTCCTCCAACTCCTCACACCTACAACACAATGTGCCACATGCCACCAGCTTCTCATCTAGTCCATACACCAGCCAAAATGTTAGTTACCCCATAAGTGCTCCTCAAGCCTCTAGTACACCATTCACAAGCAGTAATAATATGGCCAACCCATATCCCAGTGCAACCCACCAGAGTACTTCCCAGCCCAGCACCCCACATGCGAGTACGTATGCAAGCAGGGGCAGTAATGGCTCGTTGCCCAAGACACCAAGCACAGTCAAGGCTCGAAAGAGGAGTGGAGGCGGCAGGCCCTTTGATCCTGATGCGTCTCCTGCTCATCTGAACTTCACCTACAGACGGGAGATGGAGAAACAGCAGCATGAGAAGCAGTTGATAGAAAATTTAAGAAATGTAGGTTTTGAGTTGTTCTAAATGTGCATCTGATCCAAAATTTGAAGATAAACCAAAAGAAAGCCAGGAAAATATAGCAGATCAAGTAAAAAGTAAATGTACTATATCAGGTGACATGAATCACATTTTAGAGTTAATTAACAGGGAAATCATTGTACTCTACAGATAATTGAAAGCAGATTAAAGGTGTCTTTGCCAGCTGACCTCTCTGCTGCCTTGATGGATGGTGTTGTGCTCTGCCACCTAGCAAACCATGTCCGCCCGAGATCTGTTTCTTCTATCCATGTTCCGTCTCCGGCGGTGGTAAGGCTAAGCAATGACTGAAGTTTTAATTTTTTTCTTTTTTCTTTTTAATTCTAACTGTGGTATAGTTTTAAGAATTGGATGATTTGCATTATTTTATCAATATGTATATGTATATGTTTTCACCAGTATATTTTATTCTTCATTTCAGCCAAAATTGACAATAGCTAAATGTAGGTTGAATGTTGAAAACTTCCTTGAAGCTTGCCGGAAAATCGGAGTAGAAGATGTAAGTATCATTTGTGCCTCATCTGTAATTGTTTCGTTATTTTTTCCTTCTTTTTTTTCATCTGTATTTTTTTATATTCCCTTTTTTTCTTCCCCTTTATTGTGTGTGTTTTTTTTTTACCTTTTAGTTGCAGTGTGTACAGCATATGTTTCTAGGAGAAGTATTGAAGGTAAAGGATCTAGAAAAAGATGGTAAAAGTTGGCCATATAATAGTGATTATGTTGAAAGATTATATATAGAATTGTAATAAATATAAGTAAGAATATTATGGGACCTTAACAAAAATAAGACTGTCTATGCATACAGTATATGATAAGGAAAAGAAAAATCATGGTGGAGTTATGAAATTAAAGTAGGGAACTTGAGCATAACATTTTTTTTTTTTCACTTTGAAGCTAGTTTTGTATCTTTCATGATAGATATTTCTATGTTGTAAAACTATTTGAGGCAGAGTGTGAAGGTTATTAAACATGAATTATAAGATGATTTTTATACAGCTGATATTAACTGAATAAAAGGTGTATGTTATAGAAGTTATGTTAGCAGTTTGTGTATCAATAGATAAAAGATCTTTCCCTTAAAGATTTCTTGAGATATATTTTGTCATAGTAGTATTAGCATCAATTAATGAGGAACCTATTTCGTAATAAACATTTCTTTTGTTACAAAGAATGTACATTTTGATAATGAAATGCACATAAATGTTCTAGTCTTTTACTTAAAAGCTGATGTGACAGAGGAAAAGATTCAGTTATTGTTCAGATCATGATTTTAGGGTTTTTGTTTTAAAGAATCATATTACATATAGGAATTAGTTCCATTTTCTGAAATGTGCATCTGTTTGATTTTGTTGAATACTGTACAAAATTTTATTTATGTATATGCATGTAAGATGTGTATGGAATATATGTTATTATTTACCTGAATGTATATTTGTAAACATTATACAAATTTATGGTAAGTGTATGCATTTACCCAAAGGACTATACAAATGCACAAACACTGAAACATGACTAGGCTGTGGAACTATCACTTTTTGGTGTCTTGTACATATTGGTTTCCTGACTTCTCCTTGAAGTGTAGGCTGCACAGTTCTGTGTTTTATTTTTATTGTTTGCTTTTTGCTTTATTTTGCTGGCTTTTCTTGTTTTCTGTTTATATTTTTTTTTGTTTTAATTTATTTTTTTTGTTTTTTATTTTGCTTTGTTTCTTTTTTCTTTTCATTTCTTTTCTTTAAGGTGTATTTATCAAGACTATTGTAAATAGCTTTAATTGAGGCCTAGATATTACAGTACACAAGGGGTTAGGTGAGATACGCAGCATTTTTCACTTTTGTATTATATCACCTTATCCATTGATGTTAAAGCACCAGTACGGGACTCAGATTGGTGTCATGCCCTACCTTTCATTTATTTTCTTACTTAAAAAAAGGTTAAATAAAGAAGAGAAGAAGAAAAAATTTGGAAAGAAATTACCTGTCTTTATCTCTTAAGAACTTTATAGATCTACTAACCATGGGTGGGAGTAGAGGTTCTGTGCTTTGGAAAAAAAAAAAGCTTCCGATTTGGAGTAGGGCACATGTGTAGTGTTTGATTCCTAGGATTGTTTTATTTTGTTTTTGTTCTTTTTTTAAAGGCTAGTGCATGGCAGTTTGGATGTCTACTTATGGACAAGCTTCTTATTTCTGTTTTTCCCTTTTCAGTTTTTCTTTTGATTTTCTGTTTGGGGGAAGGGGGAAATAACTGCTAGGAATGTACATAGATTGAAGCTTAAAAAAAAAAATGCTGAGAATGAAACAGGTTATAAGGGGTTACCCAGCATGGCACTCAAGCATCTCACAATGGCAGGCTATTCTTTTAAAGGTGAATGTAAGCTTCACTCTTTCAAAACACCATTGTTTTTTTTTTAAATATCTCACTGCTGGGAGGAAGGTTTCTTGGTTTTTGTCACTTTCTGCATGCACTCAAGTGGAGGGTTGGGATAACTACTTCAATAACACTTATCAGAGCATGAAATAGTGGAGAGTGGGACTAATACTGTATAAAGATGAAGATAAATAAATTATTCTTTAGTTTATGGCTTTCTTTGGTGCCTGGGATATTTCTGTAGAGGTGAGAGGCCCCCCACTTGAGCTTGTGTTGCAAAGGATTTCCCCCTCCGTCTCACTTCGGCGTTGGTGTCTCTTTACAGGCGCGCGTGTGTGCATGCGACGATATCGTAACCCATTTTGACCCTGAGCGTGTGCTAACAACTGTCCGCTCCTTTGTCAACCCCTCTGAGTCCCTGTCATTAACCAAGTATAATGGCATGGTTGTGGATCAGCCTGATCCTCATGCCCCTCCCTGTGGCCATCCTTGAGGAATCCCTGACCTCTCAAGGGGACAGCGAGACTACAGTGCATTCACAGCCGTTACCAGGCAGCCGACCAGCGTTTCTTGTCCAATGCGCTGCTGTGTATTTCCTATCCACTCTTGTGTTACTGTATTTGTATCCTCCTCCAGATGATTAGAGCCACAGTCTTCCCATACATGAAAGAAATGAGAAAAGAAAGTAAAAGTAATCATTCATTAACTTTTATATATATATTTTTTCTATTCATGGTACTGTATTGCATAGGCCTTGCTTTATTTCAGTTGCTTATATGGATTAAGAAACATGAATTTGAACAAGTATTGTTAAGAGAAAAAGGACATTGTCTCCCCATCTCTGGCTAAATTACTTTTAACTGTGCATGAAAATTGCAGTTATCTGTTTAATTTTACAAGACTGTTTTTGGCAGAGATTGGTGATATTCTGTTATTTTACAGCATGGATACCCTTTATTCTGCTCTGCTCTTGCCTGTTTGATATCTGAAATGTTATTTGTTTATATGTCTCAGGTTTATTTTGAGAGCATTTGGAGCTTTAGTTTATATATCTACCTCTTATCTTAAATCAGGTTTCCTGATTCTAAGTGAAGTAAAGTAAAGCGTGGGGAATTACATGGATCTTTCTGAAATAAATAATAATGCGCCTCAGCATATAGCATTTCTGTCAAAAAAAGGTTCTGTTTCTACCACATACACTTGGTTCATTAACCTTTGCTTTCCTGTCATACTCTACTTTTTTTCTATTTTCTTTCTTGTTCTTTGTTTCGGGCTGAGTAGATACTAATGCAGTATCTTGCACCACTCTACTCCTGTATATAATATCCTCAGTGCATTTCCATAGAGCATGTTTGGTATTCGTGAAGTGTAATTCCACTTCAGGTTAACGAAAGTGCTTGTTATCTTTTTGTTAACAAATGTGCTATGTAATTTTTTGATAAGGTAAGTTTGAGTAATCTTTTAATGAGAAGACAGTTCTTCAGATTAGTGGATGGGAAAGGTGTGCACTCAAGAAAATACTGATAAGGAGTAAATGTAAAAATTGATTGACTTCCACACTGAAATATACAGTTATTCATGCTGAGAGATGCACCTCTACTCTTTCTCTTTTATTCTTTTATCCAAATTTCTTTTATTATGCTTTTTTCTGAACCTTTCTTACCCATTTTTTCCTTTGTTTCCTTTTTTTCCTCTCCATGTTGTGTTGGACTGTTTTGTGGTTACTTTTGTCATATTATCTCATAAAAAAATTAAAAAAAAAATCTCATATCCCCTCCTCTCCCTTTATCCCTTCCTCTTCCTTTCCTCTTGCTTCTTCTTTTCTCTCCTCCTTGGTCGCTCATCTTCTCTGTATCTATTCTCACTTTTCTCTCCAAATTCTCTGTTCTCTTCTCTCTCCTTCTGTTTTTTATCTTTCTTTTCCTTTCTCCTTCTGTTTGTTTTTTTCACAGATTCACTTTTCACTCACATAGAGAACAGACATACTTAGGTATTAAAATACAAACACATGCACACATGCACTTACTTACACATGCCCATACATGTACACAGTGAGAAAAGCGATACATGCACATACACACATTTCTATTCAGATGAACACATGATACACACATACAAACAGACACAGATGCAGAGTCAAATGCACAGTTTAGATATGCACTTGACACTCTTATACACATACATTTCATTACAGAAACACATATAAAGAGACAGTCACTATAAACTCTCATTCACATGCAAGTCTACACCTACAAACAAACATGCACTAAGAAAACACACAAGCACACGTGTACCACACACACACTGTACACACACACACACACACACACGTGTACACCACAACACGTGTACACACACACACACACACGTGTACACACACACACACACAGACACACACACACACACACACACACACACACACACACACACACACACACACCACACACACACACACACACACACACACACACACACACACACACACACACACACACAAACACACAAACACACACACCAGACATGCACATGTTGACAACACACATGCACATGTTGACAACACACACGCACATGTTGACACACACACGACATGTTGACAACACTCGCACACATGCTGGCAACACACCCACACATGCTGACAACAGACACACACACATGCTGATAACAGACACACACATATGCTGATAACAGACACACACACATGCTGACAACAGACACACACACATGCTGACAACAGACACACACACATGCTGACAACAGACATACACACATGCTGACATCAGACACACACACATGCTGACAACAGACACACACACATGCTGACAACAGACATATACACATGCTGACATCAGACACACACACATCTGACAACAGACACACACACATGTGACAACAGACACACACATGCTGACACACACATTGACAACAGACACACCACACATGCTGACAACAGACACACACACATGCTGACAACAGACACACACACACATGCTGACAACAGCACACATATGCTGATAACAGACACACACATGCTGACAACAGACACACACACATGCTGACAACAGACACACACACATGCTGACAACAGACATACACACATGCTGACATCAGACACACACACATGCTGACAAAGACACACACACATGCTGACAACAGACATATACACATGCTGACATCAGACACACACACATGCTGACAACAGACACACACACATGCTGACAACAGACACACACACATGCTGACAACAGACACACACACACATGCTGAACAGACAACACACATGCTGACAACAGACACACACACATGCTGCAACAGACACACACACACATGCTGACAACAGACACACACACACATGCTGACAACAGACACACACACACATGCTGACAACAGACACACACACATGCTGACAACAGAGACACACACACATGCTGACAACAGACACACACACACATGCTGACAACAGACACACACACACATGCTGACAACAGACACACACACATGCTGACAACAGACACACACACACATGCTGACAACAGACACACACACACATGCTGACAAAACACACACACACACATGCTGACAACAGACACACACACACATGCTGACAACAGACACACACACACATGCTGACAACAGACACACACATGCTGACAACAGACCACACATGCTGACAACAGACACACACATGCTGACTACAGACACACACACATGCTGACTACAGACACACACACACATGCTGACAACAGACACACACACATGCTGACAACAGACACACACACACATGCTGACAACAGACACACACATGCTGACAACAGACACACACACACAGATGCTGACAATAGACACACACACACATGCTGACACACACACACACACACATGCTGACAACACACACACACACACATGCTGACAACACACACACACATGCTGACAACATACACAAACACACATGCTGACAACACACACACACACATGCTGACACACACACACACACACACATGCTGACAACACACACACACATGCTGACAACACACACACACATGCTGACAACACACACACACACATGTTGACAAAACACACACACACATGCTGACAAAACAAACACCACACACACCACACACACACACACACACACACACACACACACACACACACACACACACACACAACACCACACACACACACACCACACAACACACACACACACACGCACACACACGCACACACAACAACACACAACACACACACACACACACACACACAACACAACACCACACACACACACACAAACACAACACACAAACACACACACACACACACACACACCCACACACTCACACCACACTCACACTCACACTCACACTCACACTCACACTCACACCACTCACACACACACACACACACACAACACACACACACACACACACACACACACACACCACACACACACACACACACACACACACACACACACACACACTGACAATACACCCCCCCTTACACATATTTATTAAAAATTTCCCATGTCAGTATTTGTGTGTTGTTGTAATGAATTTATGTTAGTATTTATTCAGTTATGAAAATAGTCAGTTTGTAGTTTATTTAGTAAGTTTGAATTTATGTAAATAATTTATTGAATGATAGCAAACTAGAGAAGAAAACCAGAATAACAGGGAAAAGTAGGTAGTTAGTTAGGTGGAGTAATTCTTTCTCATTTGTAACATGTTCTGATTTTTTTTTTATTGAATCTCTGTTCAGGTAGGTAGTTTGAAATTATAGATCTGAAGAAATTGGATAACATTATTTTCCTTGTATTTCATTTATGAATTTGTGGTAGGTGGAAAAGATCTGATAAATCATTTTATGAGAGTGATAGATGTAAGAGAAATAATGAATGTGAGAATTGCTTACCTACTGATACTGGAGGCCCTGACAATGTTTTTGTTTACTGATAATTAACCCTTCAGAGATGGGTACAGTTATAGCTGTCATGATGTAATGGCAGACATTACATCATGATGTATAGACACCTCTTGACTTCCAACAGGTGGGCCAGCTGTACACAGCTTAGGCCAAGCCACAAAGTCTAGACTGTTGTGTAATATTAGATCACAAAAAATCTGGGCCCTGTCATCATAGGGTTAAAAAGTATTTACTTCAACATTCCAGCTTTTTATTTGGCTTCTGCTAATATGCGTCATGAAATACAGCTTTGACAAGATATAATATTAAGAATATATAATTGTGGTACATATTTTCTCACCTCCAGTTATGCCAAGTTTACCCCTAGCTGTTAACTTTTTCCAGCAAGGATGAACTTATTGCTTCACACAGTCTATTGCCATTGGGGTGTGTTTATGTGGAAAGTTCTATTGAAGTTTACAGATTGAGAATTAGTAATTACTGAGAAATAACAGTATACAATTTTACTGTTAGAACTTTTTATTTTTGTTCACTCCGAATGTGAATTGTCCATGGCTGTGTGTATGGGAAGGTATGCATATGTATGTAAGCATTTTAGGCAGTCTACTTATGTGTAAGAGCATATAGGCAGTGCCACATATTTTGTGAAAACAAAATAGAAAATATTTGAAAATTGCAAATATATTTTACAGTAAATTTTATAGCATTGCAAAGCAACTGAAATGAAACAAAAAGGCTTTTCTTTGGATATGGATCTAAACATCCGGCTGGAGACATTTTGCTTTGTTTATGACATTATTGTATTACTTTGTATGATTCTGACATTCCAATATTGTCCAAAATTTAGTAGTAGTAAAAGTGTCCATATTATAGTCATTTAATGATATAAATCAAGAAATATAGGCCAGTAGGATAGGAAATCCTGGCATTTAAGTTATGTACATTATCAGTTCAAAGAAATGCATTTATTAAAGGTAATGTACTAACATTAAAACTCTAGGATTATGTTAAGTTTATATTAGGAAAACAAATCAAAGTTTCCAACATAGATTGATTGATTTAGTTACAATATTTATAATAGAGGACAGAAAATGAAAACAGGGCTCTTAAAAGAAAATAATATTAGAGTTCACTATTTTTGATTGCCTTAAAATGAGTGAATTCAAGATCTTCTGTACCATGATGCAGCAATCCAAAATGCATGCCATCAGCTGTAGAGACTAGTTGCTCTCTCTTCCAGACTAATTCTGTAAACACAAGCTTTTTCATAAATGTGTTTTTATTCCTTGCAATGCACTGTTATGTGTCAAGCTAAGTTCCTCGTACCCCTCCTCCCACCTCCCTTGCCCTTTCACTGTTGGACAGATTTCATGCTGTCCATGGTTTTTAGTCAGTATGAGTGTGCCTAATTGTAAATAAATCCTCTTTTGATATGCTACATAAACATTCTTTCTGACTTAATTGCTTCAGGAACTTTAAATCTGATTGACCCATGATCCATGACACATTTCCATATCAGAATAAAGAAATTTATTACTAATTCTAAATCATATATATAAAGATTGGCATGTATATTTATTAAGTTTATTATAAAAAAAATATGAAAATCAAATTTTTTTGCTTAGTATTTAGTCTTTGGAACAATATAAAACTGAAGGATCTTTGTATCAAATTGAAATTGCCGTATATGCAGCTAAATGATATAAAGAATTTTTCCTGTGATATTATCAGTGTAAACCTTTAGTTATTTATATAGTGTATACTCCTTGTATGAGCCAAGGAAGTCTAGTCCCAGAACATAAATATCCATAAAGGTGCTTAGGATATGAAGCCCACTGTTACCGTCTAAAGACCAAGCACTTCACTTCCACTTGTTAAAACTTATTTCGCCACATTTTGCCTTCCGAGAAAAGAACTTGTGACACTTTCTGTAAGTTGGATTACGAGTGTGTCTTGAAGTGTACTTAGTGGTGATTGTTCTCTCACTATGATGATAACCTGATTAAAAGTGTGATGAACAGTCTTATGATTGATATTATTTAATGAACTTTATGCAAGGGATGATTTTTCTCTTTTGAATATATATTTGTTTGAAAGCATCTACATAGCATTTGAATGATGATTTTTATAAAAGGATTAATGCAGCTTAACAAATGCTTATCGTTTCATTGCAATGTTAAGGCACTTGCACTAGTCATAGCTGGCTCAACTGATATATATTATATATGCCTTTGTACTTAATAGGGTTGCTTATTTGCTATGATATGAGATTTCGAGTAATTTTCTTCATGAAAATGTGAAGTGTTGCATTTCAGAAAATATTTCACCAAATGATATTATATTGAATTGAAATATTTCTAAGATACAAATTACTCGAAATTTCATATTCACATTGGCATCCATTATTGACCCAATAGTATTTTTGTTTAATTTCTAGGTAGCTCACATTTTTGGTAGCAGGTGCAAATTTGGGTTTAAATATTTTTGAAGGCTGATTAAGTCTTACAATGTAACGATTTTAATGGGACAAGTTTTTGTATCTGCTACCAGATGTATGTTTTTCTTTCTTCCGTTTTTTTTAATGGGACACTTTTATCATATTGCTTATTATGAATTCCAAGTATTCATCTCTCATGTTCCAGGTGCACATAATTATGTAGAACTTATATATATATATATACTGCACATGATTTTGAGCTGGAGAGTTGTTAAAAGTGAGACTGATGTGCCTATACAGTCTTTTGATCATAAGATCTGTTTGTAATGGATCTTGATTCAGAATGAATTTCATGGGACAGGAATTTGATAGTCATCATTATCAAAGAAAGTTTGTAATCACCAATATTTAACAAGTGTAATGGACTTTGTGATGTATGAATAATAAAAAATGTGACCAACATGTGTAATTCTAACACCATTAGTATTAAATTCCTAACAGATTAAGTAAGTATTTATTATTCTGAGCAAAATTTTTGTTTTATATTTAAAAAAAAATCACTGTGAATTCCTGTAGGTTTAATTCTTTTCAATGGGCTAAGTAAGTTATGAATTAATTAAAGTGCCCCTTTATTTTAAAATTGGTAAATATATATATTTAATATTCTTCATCCCTTCCACAGGACTACACTTGCAGTGCACATGACATTTTGGAAGAGAGAGGGACAGTGCGTGTGGCCATAACTGTCGAGAGATTGCTTCAATTCTACCAGGGACGCCATGCACCCATGTCGCCAAGAAACCAGACCCCAGTATGACAGCCCCTCTCCTGAGCTCCTCTGCAACCCCAGTATTATCATGTCCTGTCAGACTTGCAGATTGCAGTTTTTTCTGTGTATAAAGTGAAAAGGACAGGATGTAGATAGATTCTTCTTTCTCATTTCCCCTCCATTATGGGGCCAACTCTTTTTCAGAGGATAATATTCCTGCCACATAAAGCATTCTTTTGTTCTTCTGCATATGTCTGTTATATAAGAGACTTGAACAGTTGGCTGCATTCAAGGCTTGTGCAGTTTGCTGTTTTGACAAGAAGGAAAAAATGTGCTTCCCTTGTACTGTCATTATTCAAGCCAAAGGCAATTTTTATCATCAGCGAATACTCTGTGCTGTTGTAAATTATTTTTTTTAAAGGAAGAAACTAAGGTTTGTTCTTTTTTTAAGAATTTATTTTTTTCATAATCATCCATGACCTTTTTTTGCTCACTTCAAGGTCATCAAATCATTCCTAAGTAAATTTTTATACTATAAAGCTATTGTGTGCTTTTAAACTGTTCCTTTAGTCATGTTATATATATATTTTTATCTTTACACAGCTCTCTCAGCATCCATACTCATAAGCTGTTTCTATTTATGCCATTTTATTAGAGAGAGAGAGAGAGAGACAGAAAAGTGTTCAAAAAGTGTCCAATGTGTGGGTTGTGCTAAAATGATGACCTAGTCCATGTTTCTTCAATTTTCATTTCTGTATTTGGAGTTTCCAATTTTTAGCTTGCTTTTTTAAATGTTTAGGAAAAATATTGCATGTTGTAGTACCCCATTTTTATTTTGGAATTTTTAGATTTTACTCGGACATTTACTGTCGATGACAATAATATATGTTTTGATTATCCATTCTGAAGTTGAAATGGGCATTAATACATTGTTATAAAAATGTTAAAGAATATACAGAAGAAAGACCGATCTTGCATCATTATATAATTGTTGAAATACTTTATATCACAAGAACTAATTATAACACAAGAACAAATTGGTTCTCTTTTCATTTTACTGCCCATATAACAAAGATGAATATGTGCAAAGGTTGGAATAATCTATAAAAATAAAAAATATAGACAAATATTTATTCATGTTTATAATATCCATTATATGCTGGATAAAAAGTGCAATATATTTTTACAAAAAGTATGGGTGGGGGGGGAAAGGACACTGGTACTTAAAAAACAAATGTTTCCATTACACCTTTTTCAATGTTTCTGATATTTTTCTCTTTTTTTGTACTATGCCTTTTAGCTTTGCGTGTTCAGCATTTAATTATCATTTTCATGTTGGACAATAGGAATGTATACATCATATATATATATATTTATGGGGGAAAATTCAAACAAGTTTTCATCTTGATTCATTATATTAAAGGTTTCATTCAGCTCAACTTCCATTTACTGTAAAATGTGTAGACGAAGCTGTGTTTGTAGATGAATGTATATAGGAAATAAATATTCACCAAAGAAACCATACTTACAATCTATTTTTATCCTATTTCCCAAATGAAAAAAGAGGAAGAGGATGAGGAAAAAAGGGTCAATGTTATTCCATCTTTCTACTCTCATACAGGCGCCTCTCTTCTGAATATCGCTCTTTGTCCCTCTCAAACCTGTCTATGTAAACCTGCAATGAAAAGATATACATCAACATATGTAATCATACTAATATGACAGTCAATATATAGAACACTATGGATGTGAAAGCCTATTTCTTTTGCTCTATTTCAATCTTTCATTCTCTTACCTCTGGTCACTCCTTTGGGCATAAGCAGAAAATAAAAACCACATTAAAGTATAGTAAATTATAATTGTTATTATTACCATTTTTTTTTTTTATATCACATGTAACCTACTCAATCACTGAAAAAAATACACAGCAAATATCTGTTATTTGAAGAAACAAAATAACTATACTATTATTGTTTTGGCTGGGAAAAAAAACATCTAGTGCATTGCGATTATGGACTTGATTTTCTAAATGCCATAAACTTTGAAGGAAAAGCATTCATTTTCATCCTAGTACAATTGACTGACAAATTTTTTTTCTTGCAAGTCAATACATTTTAGTGTAATATGTATTAAATATTAATTTTCAAAGAAAACTTCTGCCCATTTTACCTTCTTGTCATCTTCCCCAAGGGAACTCCATCTGGCAGCAAGTAGTTTTGTCAACTGCTTTTTATCCACAGGCCTTCCTGTCTGCTGCAGGTGCTGTGCTGAAGTGGTCTCCCTCTGGTCTTGACAAAACTGTAGGAATGCACTACTTGGTCTCTTAGGAGCACTTGGGTCACGTTCAACTTTCTCTCGCTTGACCTGACATGACAAAAGTGTCTATTATGAAAACTGTTCTCTAACACTTCAAATCTCAAATTCAGATTGCTTACAGTAGAATGGGTTGTTCTTAGGGTGGCAGATCATGCTAAAGGATCTGCTTGTTCATTGCTGGAGATCCTGCAAAACTTAACTGTTTTCTGTTATGCAACAGATAAAACAACTGATCTTGAGTCTTACAGACTGATAGGGTGTATGAACTGTATGAGTGACATCGAGTTGTGGAGTAAAAATGGTGAAGGATGAGTAAAAGAAGGTAGACATGCATTTTAAAGCGAAGAGGATAGCATATAGTTCAGCTGATTCAAGCAGAAGGGGAAAATTGTATGTGTGGGAAGGAAAGAATACCAAAACCAGTACCCAAGTCTGTACCCAAGTACAGACATGGGTACTGGAAGAGTTATTGGAGATATGTGCAAGAAAATGTGCAAGGAGGATAGAAGATGTGATGTTTGATTTCAGTTGATCTTGGAAAGTAGAAGAGCAATTACAGGAAGAAGGTATTAACCAGGGAGGGAGACTGGGCAGAAAGAGGAAGAGATCTGAGATTAGGAATGGGTGAATAGTAAAGTAGAGCATCCATTCGAACAGGAAAAGAGGCAGGTAAATGTGGTGAGGAGGAGAAAGTATGAAGGGATTGAGGGACAGTTAGCCTGGAGTGAGAAAATTGGTGAAAACGAATGTAGCTTCTTACAGACAAAAGAGCAGGACCTCAAGGAGATGGAGGCCTGATTCAGTATATAGACTCTCAACTGGAGCGGATTGAAAGGTGGTTAGGGTCAATCCATCGGTAGCGGATGGCATTGTATGATGCAAAGAGCAGGACGTCAAGAAGGATATGGAGGCCTGATTCAGTATATAGACTCGTATAATGCAAAGTGCAATTAACGGCAGTTCCCTTGGACCAATGGACATCCGTGCAGTCTGGAGCTAACTGAGCCATAGGATATCAGCCACCAAGTTGATGTCCCCTAGTGGCCTTCCAAGGCCCAGGCCTGCCGCCCTGGGCCTGCACAGGCAATGGGGTGTTACACGCCAAAGGAGTTAAATGCTTTTGGCGCGTGCTAAACCAGGGCCTCCACTCTTTCTGAGCGCATTTACATATGTTTGCTTGCTTACATATATTCGCAAGGGTTTATAAAAAACATATGCAAACATATATTTTTTCTTATATACAAACATAAACACATGTGTGAAGGAGGGAAAGCAGCACTGCCACAGTGCGCACTCTCCAGCACAGTACTATGCACTACCCGAGTAGAATGTTTTAGGAAATAAATAATGATACGGGATTACACACCATATTGCAAAATATCGCAGCCAGTGAGTTAAACAAAAAAACGTAAAGGTGGATTGCGTCAAGGTGTGTGACAAGGGAGGCATAGGCAAATTATATATGAACTGCCATAATCAAGGGTGGAGAAAATTGAGTAATATAGAGATGGTGGATGGTCAGAACGTAAGGACATATGTGAGAGCATCTGTAAAAGTCAAACAAAAAGGATATGATCTAGCCAATACAGTTTTGGAGTCAAAAATTACAAAATGAAACTTGCCTGAAGAGCAAAAATTGGATGGGAACATCATATAGAAAGAGTGCAGGTTGGGAGCCTGTACATGAACGAGAAAATAGGAGGGAAAAGGTTTTAGATGTAGAAAATTGAAAGCCGTGGTTGGTGGCCCAAGAAGATTGCTCTTATTGCAGACTGAGAAGTCTGATGGAGAACAGGCATGGAAGGGCCATATATTTACATTGATGACTGCATTCCTGGTGGTAGAGCTGAAACTAATCAGTTTACAGCAATGAGGAATAATGCTATGCTGAGCGCACTGCCTTGTAGGATACCTTCAAATTGAGGGAAAGAAGTAGAAGTAAATCGGACATGAAAAGAAAGGACATGAAAACACTCGTTTCCACGTATGCCATGGGAAGATAGTAATTGAAGGATATGGTGCCCCCATATGCCTTTTCTACTTTGACTTTGACAAGTTTATTGAGACAAAAGGTTACATCTCAAAAGGATGTGGTAACGTATGTTATCCTCACCCTTATCTTGATAAGTCCCTGTGTGGGCTCACAGTTCTCATACAAAAATTAGGTGTATTACCAGATAATAACATAAAATACAAAAACAAAAATATTGAGAGTCATGGTCTATAAAAGAGAAAGTTCGTGCACACATTCACTGATGAGCTGTGAGGTACCGTAGGCGACCCGTGTGTGCAGCTGTTATTTGCGAAGGACAGGCACTCAGGTCATCCCCGGTCAGGTCACCTGTTCTTTGTCTACATATTTTGTGAAATCCGCTGTCTGAAGTCTAGACAATAATGCTATAAAAAACTCACCTTGCCTTTCCATTCTTCCAGCATATCATTAAGCTTTGCCAAGTTTTGTTCAATTTCCCATCGATCCAAGAGTTTTTTTTTTCGTGATCGTTGTACTCCACACTTGTGTTATTTTTTTTCCTTCCCTTTAATAATATCTCACTTTCTGAATCCTGCTCCTTTGCAGAAATACATGTTTGTTTCGTTTCTGTGTCTTTAGTCGGAGTTTCTTTCGATGCCTCATCCCTCTCTTTCTGTTTTTTCGTTTCTTCGCTGGGAACCTGGGCCAGTTTCCTTTCGATAGCGTCCATTCTCTGCATCAGCGTCTGGAACATCCTGGTAATTACGGATATTTCCTTAGAAAAATCCGCACCACTACTCCGCGGCACTTCCTTCACTTCCTGCACCTGTCTGTCCTGCCCGTCATCACAAGCCATTGGCGACGGCACCACCCGCGGTGGGCCCTGCACCCAGGCATTAGGGACAACAGCTGTCTCCTCCCTCGGCACCTCTGGCCGCGTGGTGACCGGCCTTTTTCCATTTTCTCCTTCCTTGGGGACCGCCGAAGCAATCTTGATTTGTGGCCTCACCCTGCATGCAGGAGACCCGGCATTGTGGCGCCCTCCGCAGTTGC